CATCCCGGTTATTAACGGATAGTCCATAAAATTAACCTGATCGTTAATCCTGAAGGACTGCATGTAATACTAAATGCAGGGATAACCGTAACTGAGTTATGTACATTCTAATGATGGTTTGGAAAAAGCTGGAAATAATAATGTGGAATGCGTAATCCGGTCTGTTCTTACGACTAGAAATATCTGAAAGCAAATATTTCCCAAAAATGTTTAGCCTGGAGTTTTATTTGTTTCACTCATTGGGCAAGGTGTCAGCCTAAAGTTCGACAATGCTTTGAGTCTCAAGCCAAACGCACAAATGTGCGATCCTCGTCGGTGAACAAAGCAATGTGTCTCCTATGGATTGCGAAGTGAAAGCCAAGATGAATCTGATTAATCTGATTGCTCATATGTGCAGATTTTTGTTTTACATTTCGAAAAGTAACATGAGGAGAATGTAAGGTTGATTGTGTAGTTTAAGAAACTATGACCAACAAGTATATCAGTTGCATCTCAAAGAAAAATGGCAAGTACCAATAAGAGGCTATTACGAACTGCTATTAAAATGTATAAATAAAATAATGACGCAAATGCCATTTTTTTTTGCTTTTGCCATCTCATGCCGTGCCTTCATATCGTTATTATGTTTTTCATGCTTGCATTGGAAAATGCATCTGAGAGCAATTTCACCGCTGTGGCGTCATTAGAAAAGTCGCCGGTAATAACGGCAACTGGACGTCACACGAACCCCTTTCCTGGGGGTGCATCTCCTCGTAAGTATAAACAGGATTAGGAAACGGGCGGCGGTTTATTCAAAGTGTTTGGCCAACAGCCATGAAACAGGTCTCTAAAGACCCCTCTCGCAACAATCATATCAAAAGCGGACTTTTATTAATGTTTATAAATTCCTGGTCATTACTGGGATACAGCCATGCATTTGTTGTGTTGTGTGCGTGGGGGGGTGGGTGGGTTATTTATTGTTTCAGTGGATTTTTTGCGAAACTTGGTGCAGCTCTTATTAAGCTGCATTCTGCTTGCTTACATTGGGGCCTCCAACTTTGTTTTGAGAATTTTTACATATTTATTGCCGCCGATTCATGAGACCGTGACGTTAGTGCGCCGCATGAATCCTCTCTGCTCTCTCTCCCTCGAGAGAGAGCGGAGGCGGATTATTAAACGACGGTGAGAAACGGGGCGATGTGGCTTTGAAAACTAATACCGTGTCAAAGCCGTAAGCCAGCAAGCAGAGCTGAGAACCCAAGTGTGAGCTCCGAGTAGACTCACAAGGGTATAACAGCTTCTCACGTGCAAGTGGTGATGTTTATGGCCTTAAAGTAGTCACCAATGATTGCCCACATAAAAAAAAAACCAGACGAGAATTTGGCTTTGACCTCAATCCAGCTTAGCATAGCGCTGCGAGAGCATTGACGCGCAGACACTGAATGAACTACTCATGTGCGCACTCTCCGAGTCCTTGTGATCACGAAGAGAGGCCTAATGAATAGCAATTCCTATTGACTGCAGGGTCATAATGAACCGACGAATGTCACGGTGTCCTTTTTATGGTCACTGTCCAATCATCATTAGCCATGCTCGTGAACTCTACTTGGTAGCTCATTATAGTTGCAATTGTAATCAACTTTGCGAACACGTGAGCTTTATTCCTGGTCATGGTTAATAATGGCTATGGGGAGAGCGGTCATGCACTCCGCTATAAATCCTAGCCACAGCCGATACCAGTGGCATGTGATATCCCAATTGGTGCTGGTCACCCCCTTCGCCAAACGGCACTGACCAGCATGGCCAAGTATGGCCATCTTGATATGCAGTTCTTGAAATGTAAATGATTACTTTAGATAAACTTGATATCAAATGAACTTGAATCGGTAACCCATGGACCCACAGCAATGGTGGATTTTCTCGTGGCCATATTGCCATTATCAACCCAACGGTGTAGATTTAATGTTATCGTCTTATTTGCAGAGTGCTGATTACACCTCTATGTTACTTTCTCATGCCATTTTAGTGATTGCAAAGTTTTATGCTGAATCATGCTACCTTTTAAGCTACACAACCACTATTTGCAGCAAGTTAAACTGTGTACATTAATGTGAACTCACTCCAGCCTTCAGGGGACCCTTCGGTCAGTGGTGAGAAATGAACTTGGTGATGATGCCAGTTCGTTTTGGGGCGATCTCTCTCACCGCTACGCCTAAACGAACTTGTTTAAAATAGTTTCTTGCTCAAGGCCGTCATGCTCAGACGGTGACTTATCTTTTACAAAATTCAATGCGTGCCACCGTGGAGGGCGCTGAACGAAACAGACAAATGTTTGTTTCTCCATGTGAAACAAAAAGCCGTGTTTAACAGGCCTATTTGCTGATGAGAGACCCATTTGCTTCAAACAAATGCCACTGCTAAACACGGTCTTTATGGGCCATAGGTCAATGTAGTGACATTTTTATTTATTCATGTCTACATTCAGAGATTGGCATTTGTCTTTATAAATATGTGGCCTATGTCCTTTTGCATGCGATCTCGGATAAACTACAATATGTAATATTCTGTACGTGCGTGTGCAAATACACATTTCGCCGTATCAAAAACAACAAAAACTATACAAAGTAATTGCTGTAATTAAGAGGAGCAAGTAGACCGTGGAAGCATTTAGTCTCAAGGAGAGATGACGGCAATTAAAATCTGTGCTTGACTTCACAGGTGATGGCATACCTGTCAACCCCTTATCAGTGCTTATTTTATAATATATAAATTCAGACCTTATTGGTCACCCCGTGCCCTTATAAATCTCAACGTTGATCCTACAAAGTCCCATCACAAGGAAAAACACAAAGAAATAGACAAAAAACATGTTTTTGCCCGTATTGAAACGGCTGTACTCCGTATGGACCTGAAAACTAAATTTTCCTGTACAAGAATACGGGGTAAACCGTGTGGGTTGCCACGGTATATGATTGAGGAGGAGATGGAGTGATGAAGAAGGATGGAGTCAACTGTTACGCGGCTATGCAGATCTTCAGGCAGCGCTATTTTATGAGGAGTGGTCTATACCCAGCGGTTACATTGAACACAGCAACTTCAGAATGAATGCACTGTGTCTGTTATGAATATACATTCTGTATTGGTTTTCCAATTGCTTGTGCAGTACGCTGCATAATAAGTCGACAATGTTGTTTTTGTCGGAGAGTTTCAATTACAGTATGGGGCACATATTGAGGCCAAGGAAGGCGTGAGCCTAAAAAACTTTAAATGCTTTATATTTCTCTCATTCACCAAGCTTAAAACTTGTGTTGTGTTAATAAGATAAGTGATATTATAGTTTGTATATACCTTTAAGTGCATATCCACACCAAAAAGCGTGATATTAATTACATTGTAGACTATAGGCTAATATGTTGTTACTTTAGTGCTGAGATCAATGTATTTTTTTACATGATAACGTTGATTGATCAGATAAATCAGATGTTTTTAATTTGAGAAACTGAGTTTCAAGGAGGTCAGGTTTTTGTTATACTGACATTGAGTGAGATTTTTTTTCTTACGTTAGATAAATAGAGCCCTCTGGCAATCCACTGCTGGAGAAAGGCCCGCCATCACACTTTGTTTGACCATGTTTCACCATGCTGGTCAAAGGTGGAATCCCCAGGATCGGTTCAGAAATCACTCACCACCGACGTTGGCCACGGCTGGGAATCAAACCCGGGTCATCGGGTACATAGCGCCGTGCGCTAACCACTGCACTGCCACTCCACACCCACGCAAACTCCGGTCATCCTCGCAGCGGCTTTTGGCTCGCCATCGAACAAAGACGGTCACTGCATGGCACGCTTTCAGATGCGCCTCTGCGACTGTCTGGAACGTTCTTCCTTCCGATATTCGGAAGCCACTGCAGCACTTGAAAATCTAGATTGAAAACTAATTTCTTTAGAACTGATTTTTGTGTTTAGTTTGTTGTCCTACCCCCGTACCTCCGATTATCACGGTTGGCTACGTACGGTGCGAAAGTTCAACATACACACATACTTACCAACCTGGTTCATCAGGAACATAGCGCGGTGTGCTAACCACTGCACCGCCAGTCCACGCCCATGTTTAACGCACATCTCATAAACATACACTGTGTGTAACACAGAATGTGTGGATCGGATCATGTTTCGAATTGATTAGATCTAATTATAGACCTTGACCCATTTAAACGGTGGCGACCATGTGTTAACCGACGTGTGCAATCGTGCACCGATTCCGCCAAAGCAGACTTCCACGTTCGGAGCAAAGTTGCGAAAGAGCGTGCGCGAAGTTTAGTTTAAATTTTCACCAAAAAAAAACCCACGAATTTCTTTCGTGGCTCGTAGCAAGTAAAACGAGGACAGCCGCCCACTCAGGGCTCTCCGGTTTGTGAGCGCTGCCAGCGGCAGACAGGCAGCTTCTCGACCCACAACTGCCGGGGTCAAAAGGTTCTCCTAAAACATCCCGGCTTCACGAGGGGGAGGAGGGAGCAAGAGAGTTGGTATCGTTGACGTGCCCTATTAATTACGGCCTCTCCGCGTGCTGCACCGAGCTTAAGTTCTCATTTTTATATTTTCCGGGTCGCCGGTATAGACTGCGGCAGATACGCGTCTAGTATCCACAGCCGTAGCGATGAGAAGGATTCTGAACGAGGTTTGTTACGTGTTGAAAAATGTCATTTTCTCTTTGTCGCTGGTAGACTGCTGTAGGCTCGTGACTTTTTAGTAGCCAAAGCCGTAGCGAGAGGAAAATATTTTCTGGGTCGTCAACCCAGACAGACTGTTGGAATTAATCCCTTTGTTACCATACCTGCCTCTAATGCAACACTGTTTTGTGTTAGCCACTTACCTCAAAAGTCCTCCTTGAAGCATGAATTGACACACAAACACACACATTTGACAATTAATTAACTTATTTTTTTACACTCCCATGGAACGGCATTTTTGGTGGCTTTCTCTCTGGCCGGTGCGCTGCCACTCATGGGGCGCTGAACTCACCAAACTCGCTGGCACAGTAGTGCTCCAGAACAGACTCGATCTTCATCTCGTTGTCGCACGGAGGGCACACTTTCATCTCTGAGGGCAACAACAAACACATTGGGGATGGTTATGCTGGATGCTCGGAGCACATTAGCGCAGCAGGTGCCAGCGAATGGGTTTGTTTCAACGTAGAGCATGTAAAGACTGCTTTCGTTGATGGTCCCACTCTGATATGTGCTCACACTTGAGTGCTTGCTATTTTGGCGGCCCATCGAACGCATCGCGCATTTTCAGATGCGCCTCTGCGGCCGTCTGGAACGCTCTTCCTTACGATATTAGGAAGCCGCTGGAGCTATATGCACTTTTAAATCATCTCGACTGAAAACGTATTTCTTTAGAAGTGCTTTTTGTGTTTGGTTTGTTGTCCTTCCCCCACACCTCCGATGAGCGAGGTTGGCTACGTACGGTGCGAAAAAGTTCAACATACATACATGACACATTGACACAAAACATACATTTCGTTCCGTGGTGGAGCGTGGGGGGGCGGGGGTGGCACGAGTCCTGGTGTAAGGAATGAAATGGGGGGAGGTCTCCTGTCGAATTTTCCCTCTGTTTGTGGCCTGGCGCTTTTATCCTTTTGACCCATGGGCCCCGGCGCACCCTCGATGGTCACACCACTGATTGCGATCACTGCAACCTGCTGTTACGTGCCATAACAAGACAATCGCGCACGTGCGTTTCGTGTTGCTCTAGCTTTTTGAGGTTTGGCGTGGTTTTTGTTTGTTGCTTACCCAAACGTTATTTCTAGCGTCAAATATATATAGAAGCAAATAGCAACGAGTGACATTCTTTATTAGGGACAAGCGTTACGGGGCAAACGAGTCCGATAGTAAAAGTTAGGATGTTGCATGCGCTGTGTGTAAAGAGTGAGAGTAAACGACAGCCTTTAAGAAATTCACTGCTGGATGACGGCCTCCATATGGCGTGTGATAATTGTTTGACCATACCTCACCACCACGTTAATCAGTGCGCATTGGTGAAGGAGGAGTGCACTCCCAGGATTGGATATCACTTGCCACTGATGTCAGCCACGGCAAGGAATCAAACTCGTGTCGTTGGCTCATCGCGCAGTGAGAAAAATTACCGCTGCTTTAAATATCCATCTGCAATACCAGTAAGAGGCCAGTGATTGTAAAGAATTGCCTGCTCAACGTAAAAAAAATCCCAAATACTGTACAAACAAAATAGGCCAAGATTTTTGGGTTTCCAGATGGTTAAGGCAAATTCTGTTTCCTAATTAGAGTAAATTTTTTTTTATTGGGGACAAAAGATTCAGAGTTCCTGTCGCTCCCCTCATCGGTACCCAGTCACCCCCTCCCAATGCCCCCCCACCAATCCCCCCCCCCTGATCCCCCCCCCCCCTGATGCCCCCCCCCCCACCAGTTCCCCCCCCAGGGAAGCTCACGATCCGACCAGCGGTAACCAATTTCTGCGAGCGCCAACTCCACGCTCAAAAATTGAATACATTGTCATGCATTTAAACAAAAAAGTACAAACTATTTACACGTAGGTATACATTTCTCCTGTACGCATTTCAATTGTTTGCTTTTTAGGTTCAACATATATTTATATACGTTTCCACCCCCCCCCCCCCCCCAAGGCAAATGGATTTATTATTTCTAGATTTGAAGCTTTCGTGACTGCAAGGATTCATATTTTTAGGTTTTTTAGGTAAAGTCATGTAGGTAAAAAATTAAAATTACAAATATCGTGCTGTGACGGTTCCACCTGAAGACGGAAGCTTGTGTTGCCTCCGAAACGTCGTGATTTTTATTTTATTTTTTATTTTACTTTTATTAATTTTAATTTTTTTACCTACGTGACTTTACCGAAAAAACCTAAGAATATGGATGTATTATTATTCTTATTACTACAAACGCTACCATAGACCGAAACAACACAATCCTGCATTTGTCTTAACAATGCACAATAGCGGCGATTTTACGAACCAATTTAACTGAACTTCGCCTCTTAATTCCCGAAGAGTCTTCAGAAAGCGTGGGCCGCGCGTTGCATTGTGTGCTGCAGGCGGGCAGGGGGACAAAAGCCACGGAGAGAAAAAACAAAACAAAAAACCGTCGATTTGTGCCGCGGCGTTTTTCTCAGCTTTTTGCGCTTCGTCTGCAGCTCATTAGGGTTGTCAGTCTGCGTGTTTAATTAGATTCCACTTTGGGTCTTAGAGGGGTAAGTAGGATGTGGGGGGGAGCTGGGGGCAGGGTGGTGGGTGGGGAGTAGGGAGGTGAGGTGGTGGGGGGGCAGCTCTACCGTGAAGCTGCCGGGCAGAGAGGGGGACGGAGAGCTGGGCACTTTAGGAGGACGTTCTTATTATTACACTCACGGGTCCAGCCTCGACCCCCGCCTTCTGCCCAATGCCACCCTCATGCTCCCCCCCCCCTCCTGTCTTGCTTTCTCTCTCGCCGGCCCCTCTCTATTGCGTCTCTCCCTCTCTCTCTCGCTCCTGTACGACCACAGCCTGATTTCAGACTGGCCTTTTCACTTTTGGGTCTCCTGCGGATTTTTTTTGTCTCTCTCTCGCTCGCTCGCTCTTTTTCTCTCTCCTTGTTTCCACTGCTAACAGCGCTGCCCATTTATGGAGAAATAACAGGACTACTGTCTCAAACCCGTCCGTCACAGACGCGCACACTTGCCTCTCCTCCTCCTCACTTTGCCTCCCCGTTTCTCCTCCGTCGATCGTTGTTGGAAACCCCGGCGCTTTGTCTGCGTTCCATTTAATGGTGAGGCGCGTGCGTTTTTTTCTTTACCCATGAGCACACCACCACACAAGTGTCTTCACCGCGCTCCTGCGCCGTCCCGTCACTCATCATTATTAAAGCACTCGCAGTGTCTGAGCCGTATCAGAATTCACCACGAACACCCATTGATATCTTCTGCATGCAAAATACAAGGGCGCAGTCACGAATTTTGAGAATGTCTGTCCTTCTAAATTCAGGGCAGCAAGCTACAGGTTGGGCTTATGTTGATACCACTGGACGGCCAAGGGGTGATTAGATGTGTGGGGCAACCAATTAAATTCCATGACCACTGTTTGTACATTGAAGCTTTATAAACGTGATTAAACCCGTGCTCTAAACCAAAGATTGACTTTTAGCTGTGTCACATTTAATATTCGCTCTCTTTTGAACACATTAAATAAAGTGGAACTCAAATGTCCTGCTATTTAAATTTTCTCAAACATCATTTTATGGGGACATAAAACAACCTTTTGTGTACACACATAGCGAGCGGGTCCATTATATGGAGGACCGTTGCACACAGACCAGCAGTGTATTTCCTTACAGAGCATTTAAGCTCAATAGGAATCGCAGAGAAATGGTAACAAGACATTGGAATATTTCCAACGTTATGCAAAGGGCGTTGCTTCATTCTAAAACAATGGTATAACTGTGGGTAATGAGGCGGAACTAAAAGTAGGGCCTTGATCACACACAAGGCAAGGGCATCTACACAAGCAATGCCTCTTGATGGACCTATATTTCACGTTCCTAGTGAGATTTTACTTTTTTTATAACACAACATGCCACGGTTTTTTGTGTGTGTACTCACATTCGTCGATGCCTTCAAAAGTAAGAAATATATATTAGGTGACGTTTCGGGCAATGGCACTTCTTAATAACACATGGCCCATTGCCTGAAAGGTCGCCTATTACTCTTGAAACGTTTCCTTTGAAGGCCACGGTGTCAGACTAACCTGAGTCTTCTCGTTTTTTTGTGAACCACTACCAATGGCAGTAGCAGCATCGACAAATGCATGCTCTCTTTTCGTACGAGTTGGGAGAATGGTGACAAACGGATGACATCAATAAATAAATGCACGGCAAATGACACTGCAACCTCGGCCAAATTGACTCAAAAACACGGACAAAAAACGCCGATTTGGCGTAAATAGGCGCGCGCGCGGCGTGGATAAACGGGGCGGTGTTAAATCCATTTCGCTTAAGGCAGCAACACAAAAGCGCTCCCCCATAAAACACACACACGCGCGCGCGCGCGGAAGGCACGAGAGGCAATTTAAAACAACTTTCACTCACCACTCGGGAAGAGAGGCCTGCATAACTACCCGCAAAAAAAGGAATCCTCTCTCTCTGTCTCAAAAAAAACCACCCCACACACACACTCTCTCGTTTCTCTTAGCGCCGCAAAAAAAAAGCCATCTCAACCGCGTCGCTATGATGATAACACCAGACTCGCTCTCTCACAACAATCTACCTGCTCATGTTGGATGGAGCCACCTCACCCCCCCCTATTCCTCCAGTTCCCTCCTTCCCCCCATGGATGAGATAGGGATCAGTGAGGGGGAAATGTGAAAAGGGAAGAGAGGAGGAGGAGGAGGTGGGGGGGATTGTGAAGGCATCCTGGGTTTGCGTTCTGCCAGTGTTAATTTAGTCACCAGCGATTTTATTATTTTGGCTGTGAACGCTTTCTTGGGCCGCAACCAGTGGAGTTTCTGAGTCGAGTCTTACTCATTCTCGCGTGGATTCCGTTGGGCCATTCTCTAGGGTGATTCAAGCTGTCCAACGCGAAGTCCACCTTTTAGTCGTTAAACGTCGGGGTGATGGGCGCACAATTTCCGTCCCACCACCACCTCCTCCCCTCCTCCCCGCAGTAATATCAGGTCAGTGAAACGGGTGAACTCAGCAGTACATCTGTTGTTCATATTCATTACACAGTCAAACGGGGCCATTTGCTGGGCCTCGTCAGCTGCCTGCAAACTCCGATAACAACCACGCGCGCGCCTGCGTCGTCTGCATTCGTAACACTCCTGAACAACGCCATCTCGTCACCGTAGTCACGCGTTGGGGAGTTTGTTGTTGTTGTTTTTTGTTGTTGTTTTTTTTTGTCGTTGTCGTTGCAATGACAACACGAGTCACCGTCGCGACACTTGGGAACAATTCCCACCCGACGCAACTTTTGACTTTCGTCTTGACGCTCGACTCAGAAAACACAACACCACCTCAATACCACCACCACCACCTCAATACCACCACCACCACCACCAAGTTACACTCTCATCCCCCACGAACATATCCCCACGATATCCCCTCGGCGCAATCAATCACCCCCCACCCCCTCACCTGTCTGCGCAGTGACGCCTTCACCTTCATCCTCTCCGTCGACCCCGGCACCTCCGCCGACACCGCCGCCTCCTCCTCCTCCACCTCCTCCTCCTCCCCCCCTCGCCGACTGCGCCGCGATGCACAGGTCGTTGTCGATGGGGAACTTGTCACAGCGCAGCATGTCGGGCCACGGGAAGCCGAACGACTCCATGACGGGCGCGCACGAGTCGCGCACCGCCTGGCACAGCGAGCGGCACGGGTAGATGGGGCGGTCGAGGCACACGGGAGCGAAGAGCGAGCACAGGAAGAGCTGCGTGTCCGGGTGGCAGCGCTTGGCCAGCAGAGGAACCCAGCTGCCCGCCTGCTGCTGCACCTCGGGCAGAGACTCGTGCTCGAGCAGGTTGGGCAAGCGCATTTGCGCGTAGCCGATGTTCTGGCAGAGCCGCAGGTTGTTGGGGATGGAGACGCACACGGCCGGCTTGGCGTAGAAGCGCTGGCTGCCCTGGTAGGCGTCCGACTGCCAGCCGTAGTCGTCGTAGTAGTGCGCTTGAGCCGGCGAGGCAGAGAGCGCGAGGAGCAGGATCAGGAGCCGCGGCGGCGGCGTGAGGACGAGCGGGATGAGGGTGGCCGAGCGCGTGCGGCGCGGTGGCTCCATCGCGTGGAGCGGTGGGTCGCGTTGGTGCGGTGCGGGGTGGGGTTCGACCGGCTTCGCTTGCGACTCTTGGAAGCGCGCCGCTGAACTACTCGCGGACGAGAGCGGCTGTCGCGACAATGAGTCCGCTGGAATAATATACAGCCTCCCCCGGCCTCCCACCTCCCCCGCCGCCGCCGCCCCCAAAAAAGAAAGATAGTCCGTTGTTTGAATACGAAGAAAAGAAACCCCCTCGAGTTTTTGCTCTATTTTAGAGTGGTCAGCTGCGAGATATTGATTGTGAATTTCTCGCTGTTTTGCTCGTTTCGTTTTAGCCCTCTCTGCTCTCTTTGTCCCGTCTTGGCAGTGACCGTGTCTGGCCTTGGGCTTGCCGATGCCGCTGCTGCTCTTTGGCTGTGCAGGTTTTTACATGGCCAAGACGGCAGCGAACCTGCTGCTCTGTACAGAAGCCCCTCCGGCAGCAAGCAAGCAAAGCAGTTCGCGCGTGTTGCGGTTGAATGCAGCAGCAGTCTGCAGGGAGACGGCGGTGCCTGCACGCCTTGTTACTACCTCCGGCGGTACGCCCCGATTGGCCGCTCTTTTAATCCCTTCTCCAATCATCTCACAATGAGCTCTCCTGCCTCCTCCCATCTCTGCGCGGTCCTCCCACCCCCGCCCAACTCCCACCCAACTCCCACCGCTGCATCACCCAACCACCCACTCATAATGACTCCCCCCTCCTCCTACTCCCCAAACCACGCATCCAACCTCACCCATCATCCGTACTCTCTCATCCACCCACCTCTCTCTCTCTCTTCACCTCTCCCTCTGCAGTGCATCTTTGGCCCATCCACAGTCATAAACCCTTATTGGGCCACCGTCGTGGAGCCAAGCGCTGATGTTGCTGTGCGTCTCTGACGGGGACGCATTCTGCTTCCTCCTCATGTCTTATGGTGGTCGATTGGTGCGTGCGCCTGGTCCCACCGAAGACCAAAGACAAAGATCACCCGAATAGGCTTGACAGAATGTTGGGGCAAGTGCTGTTAGCGAGCACGCATGCTGGCCGGCGCGGCACACGAAGTGGGTGGGTGGCCAGCACCACGCCCGGCCGCCTTTGTCTCTCCAGTGGCGATGTTTACTACACACCGCGCCCGGTACTGACTTGAGGCTGAGTCGACCTAGGGGAGGCTCAGGACCGGTTCAGATAAGTGTGACTGCTGTTGGCCGTGAGCGGGAATCGATCTCTGGTTCGCCAGGTTCGTAGCGCCTGCACCCCACGCACACACTACGCACACTACCCACACACGTGTAACGCACACACGTGTAACGCACACACGTGTAACACACACACGTGTAACGCACGTACGCATAACGGACAGGCGAGCGTCCATCCACAATAACTCGCCACTCATTCCCTTTCGTGCGTTACAAAAACAAAATGCCCAGCGGGTTTTAACCCGTCCCCACCTCCCACCTCGAAGATGTTTACACAGGGCAGACGCTATCGAGCAAAACAGCGCACACCCCGCGTGTTTGGACTCGGACATGTGGCCCATTGCAGATGGCTTAATTTGGTGGCAGTGACGACAGCGTGTCCATTCATTCCCCCCCTCCTCTCTCCGTCCGCCTCCCTTCTTCCTCCTCCGATTGCGCGTGACATGCACCTTGCTAACTTGGCCGGCCACGTTTATCGGACCCATGACCACCAGCAACCTATCACCCAGCAGCAAGTAGCAGCAGCAGCAGCAAGGTTTGACGGCTCCCTCCTGTCCCCATGTCTGCTGACAATCGCGTTCCCACATCCACGCCAATGGGGGGGGGGGGGGGGATGGGGGAACGCCCGATGACTCTGGATGTAATTACCAGCGAAACGTCGTCGTACTACCCAGATTGTAAATGTTGTGGATTTACTCTCCAGCACACCGGTGGGCTGAAGCGGTAACTAATTGGCGTTTTGTGTACGTGACAAATCCCTCGCTAATTGGCTGTGTCGGGTGGTGGAGGGTTTCGCGACACATTTACACTTAACGCGATCTAACCCAAACACCTTTATCATGAATAATATTGGTCGCGAAAGCTGCCAGTGTGGGTGTTGTGGGCTCGCACACGGGGGGGGTGGGGGGCTGCAGTGTGCGATGGCGAGTGAGTGACGGGGGGGGGGATCCTTGAACTCGGAAATGAGCTCCAGCTCCCAGATGGGCCGAGCGCGCTCCTCAATTATGAGCCACTTTCGAGCGTTTACTGTTGCCCACTCCCGGGTTCCACCACCACCACCCCTCGAAAAACCACTCCACCACCATCACCACCACCGTCACGTTTACTGTTGCCCACTCCCGGGTTCCACCACCACCACCCCTCGAAAAACCACTCCACCACCATCACCACCGTCACGTTTACTGTTGCCCACTCCCGGGTTCCACCACCACCAACCCTCGAAAAACCACTCCACCACCATCACCACCGTCACGTTTACTGTTGCCCACTCCCGGGTTCCACCACCACCACCCCTCGAAAAACCACTCCACCACCATCACCACCGTCACGTTTACTGTTGCCCACTCCCGGGTTCCACCACCCCTCGACAAACCACTCCACCACCATCACCACCGTCACGTTTGCTGTTGCCCACTCCCGGGTTCCACACCACCACCCCTCGACAAACCACTCCACCACCATCACCACCGTCACGTTTACTGTTGCCCACTCCCGGGTTCCACACCACCAACCCTCGAAAAACCACTCCACCACCATCACCACCGTCACGTTTACTGTTGCCCACTCCCGGGTTCCACACCACCAACCCTCGAAAAACCACTCCACCACCATCACCACCGTCACGTTTACTGTTGCCCACTCCCGGGTTCCACACCACCAACCCTCGAAAAACCACTCCACCACCATCACCACCGTCACGTTTACTGTTGCCCACTCCCGGGTTCCACACCACCAACCCTCGAAAAACCACTCCACCACCATCACCACCGGCACGAGGCCCAATTGCCTTTAAAGCATTAACACATTCACGCTCATACTTAATTTGGAGCTTTCGTGACTGCAGGAATTACTCTTTGGTTCTTTCGGTAAAGTCACGTATAAAGAGAAAATAATAAATTAAATACGAGCATACGACGTTTCGATTGCAACACAAGCAATCATCATCAGGTGTAAATGAAATAGAAACACAAGAAATAAGTATAGAAACACATGAAATAAGTATACTAGATTTGTGTTTCTATTTCATTTATGCCTGATGATGATTGCTTGTGTTGCAATCGAAACGTCGTATGCTAGTATTTAATTTATTATGTTCTCTTTATACATTCACGCTCACCACTGCAACTTGGTAACTGGACAGGTTGTGCATTGGGAGGCTCTCATTCAGCAGTGGATTTATCCACGAGCGCAATGTGTACAGTACTTCTATACTTTATTTATTTTTGCGTTTGACTTTCTTACCTTATCTCTGTCTTCCATTCATATCGTATTTTGTAATGTTTGTTTGTTGATGTAACTCGCTTACCCGTCACGACTGGACATGTGTGAATAAAGAGCTTCATGGCTCATCGGATTCCTCAAGGATAAATGCAAATTCTGATACTGGATTGGTAAAGTGGGCTGTACAAGATACCGCATTTCCCCGCATATAGCCCACGTACGCATAAAACCTGCAGACGCACATACCTCGCAAAAATAGCGTTTTGTGTAAAATAAATCTCAGATAGCCCGCACCTCCATATACCCCGCAGGGTCTTGTTTTATTTGTATGCGGGAAAATACGGTAATAGACGCTTCGTTGAACGGAAAAAAATGAGCGATGAGTATGAGATCCGAACGCCTATGTCCGATTGTAAATGAAGAATCCTGTAACGTTGTAAGTACAATCCGCGATGTTTTCAAACATCGCGATAGAACAACCTGGGGTTGTGGATGCTTAGGAAGGTTGTAATGTTTAGACAACGCCGACAGATCAGGGCCACATTTCCGATTCGTCATTTCCGATTGAGAGGCGTGATTTCGATAGCGGCCTGATGGCATCGACATTAACGTCAACGAGGACATCTCTACCCCACACAGACAGGCAGCAGTCCACATGGTAGTTGTCAAATCGTCCCCACTGTGTCACAACCAAAACAAAACACGAACTGTGTCAGTCTGTTGTCTCTTAGAATGCCGCGTGCTTTTTTGCATTCATTGTTATTTTAAAAACGTCTTTCAACGTGAGCGCGTGGCAAGTGCCGGGTGGATTATCGCAGCACGGGATCTTGACATATGGTGATGGAACTTCGCGACGAAGAGGCCTCCATCCCGCGCCTCCGATGAACACGATTCGCTACGTACGGTGCGAAAGAAGTTCAACCAACATATATAACTTAATACACTCGCTTTGCTGCAATGTACGTCCACTCTATAGATGGCGGTAGCAACGGCATGCCATGGAGTTAACAGGAGAAAATATTAAATACCTCTTGGTCCAAAGCACATAAAAGCAGCCATGCGTAGAAAAGCAATCGCGCAATTTTCGTGTCTCTCCCGATTAATCTGTGCTCTCTTAAAGCCGCGAGGGGGGGGGGGGGTCCCGTATCAGGTAACTTTGATGACTCGACGCGCAGCTGTTTTCACTTAATAATAAACGTACACAATGAAACGAGATTCCGCCCATGCGTGATCCCTTCCCACTGCGTTACCCGCGAACGTCAAAACATAAAGGATCCGCCTGCCCCCATCACCCGTGTAGGCTTAACAGACTGTTGGGGCAAGTGCTGTTAGCGAGTAGCACCTATGACGGCCCTACGACGCACGAGGGGTGTAAACTGCAGACAGCACCACGCCCGGCCGCCTTTGTCTCCCTAGTGGCGGCGATGTTTATACATCGCACCAGGTACATACTCATTTGAGGAGGAGGAGGAGGCCCATGACCGGTTTAGATGTTCTCCACTATTCTTGGTCGTGAGCGAGAGTTGAACTCGGGTTGACGATATTCGCGGCGTAGCGCAACTTACACACACACACACGCTGGCCAGCTTACTACTACAGAAACCATTTATTTATCTGTGTGCAATCCCAATTGCTGTAATGATGTGCAAAGACGAGTGGCTGCCGGTAAACATTGCTCTGAGCTTAATCTGCAATTTAAATTGGCTGGTTATTTGAGGTTGGTGTTAGGTAAGCAATAGGATATCACGGGGTGTTTGCGACTCCAGATAATCCTCGCTGTCAATACAATTTCAGGCACGACCAGACCCACAAAACGATTATTCACTCCGTGATTGACTTGTCTTATTCTCTGCGCTCATGAGGAGATGTTGTTTTTCTTTAAAGAGAGACAGAGAGAGAGACGCAGAGAAAGAGAGAAAAAAAATCCCTGCAAAAATTAAGAGGAAACGTCCTCTGAGGATGATTCAGGAATTTGAAATTCCAGCGAATGCCGTTTGAAATTGCCCCGAGCATTAAGTCCTCGTATCTGATAGGGCAGCATACGTTTTGAATCGGGTGTCCGATGGAAGTTTGTTTTGTAAGGTTTTTCCACAGGAAATTAACAGAAAATCCTGATTCTAAAGATT